GGGGTGTATGGGATGTACATAATGTACGGGAAGTATGGGGTGTATGGGATGTACATAATGTACGGGAAGTATGGGATGTACGGGGCGTACATAATGTACAGGAAGTATGGGATGTACATAATGTATGGGATGTATGGGGTGTACATAATGTACGGGAAGTATGGGGTGTATGGGATGTACGGGGTGTACATAATGTACGGGAAATATGGGGTGTATGGGATGTACGGGGAGTATGGGATGTACGGGGTGTACATAATGTACAGGAAGTAAGGGGTGTATGGGATGTACGGGGTGTACATAATGTACAGGAAGTAAGGGGTGTACGGGGTGTACATAATGTACGGGAAGTATGGGGTGTATGGGATGTACGGGGTACATAATGTACGGGAAGTAAGGGGTGTATGGGATGTACATAATGTACGGGAAGTATGGGGTGTATGGGATGTACGGGGTGTACATAATGTACGGGAAGTAAGGGGTGTATGGGATGTACGGGGTGTATGGGATGTACGGGGTGTATGGGATGTACGGGGTGTACATAATGTACGGGAAGTATGGGGTGTACGGGGTGTACATAATGTACGGGAAGTATGGGGTGTACGGGGTGTACATAATGTACGGGAAGTATGGGGTGTATGGGATGTACAGTGGGGATCGAAAGTTTGGGCACCCCAGCTAAAAATTTGTATTAATGTGCATAAAGAAGCCAAGGAAAGATGGAAAAAATCTCCAAAAGGCATCAAATTACAGATTAGACATTCTTATAATATGTCAACAAAAGTTAGATTTTATTTCCATCATTTACACTCAAAATAACAGAAAACAAAAAAATGGCGTCTGCAAAAGTTTGGGCACCCTGCAGAATTTATAGCATGCACTGCCCCCTTTGCAAAGCTGAGACCTGCCAGTGTCATGGATTGTTCTCAATTATCGTCTGGGAAGACCAGGTGATGTCAAGCTCAAAGGTTTTAAATGCCCGGACTCATCTGACCTTGCCCCAACAATCAGCACCATGGGTTCTTCTAAGCAGTTGTCTAGAAAACTGAAACTGAAAATAGTTGACACTCACAAAGCTGGAGAAGGCTATAAGAAGATAGCAAAGCGTTTTCAGATGTCAATATCCTCTGTTCGGAATGAAATTAAGAAATGGCAGTCATCAGGAACAGTGGAAGTTAAAGCAAGATCTGGAAGACCAAGAAAAATATCAGACAGAACAGCTCGCAGGATTGTGAGAAAAACAATTCAAAACCCACGTTTGACTGCACGATCCCTCCAGAAAGATCCGGCAGACACTGGAGTTGTGGTACACTATTCCACTATAAAGAGCTACTTGTACAAATATGGTCTTCATGGAAGAGTCATCAGAAGAAAATTTCTTCTACGTCCTCACACACAAAAATCATCGTTTGAACTTTGCAAATGAACATATAGACAAGCCTGATGCATTTTGAAAACAAGTTCTGTGGACCGATGAGGTTAAAATTGAACTTTTTGTCCGGAATGAGCAAAGGTACGTTTGGTGAAGAAGGGGCACAGAATTGAATGAAAAGACCCTCTGTCCAACTGTTAAGCATGGGGTTGGATCAATCATGCTTTGGGGTTGTGTTGCAGCCAGTGGCACAGGGAACATCTCACGAGTAGAAGGAAAAAATGGATTCAATAAAATTTCAGCAAATTTTGGATGGTAACTTGATGCCATCTGTGAAAAAGCTGAAGTTAAAGAGAGGATGGCTTCTACAAATGGATAATGATCCTAAACACACCTCGATATCCAGGGGGGGATTACATCAAGAGGCGTAAACTGAAGGTTTTGCCATGGCCTTCACAATCTCCTGACCTCAACATCATTGAAAATCTATGGATAGAACTTAAAAGAGCCGTGCGTGACAGACAGCCCAGAAATCTCAAAGAACTGGAAGACTTTTGTAAGGAAGAATGGGCAAAGATACCTCAAACAAGAAATGAAAGACTCTTGGCTGGCTACAAAAAGCGTTTACAAGCTGTGATACTTGCCAAAGGGGGCAGTACAAGATATTAACTCTGCAGGGGGCCCAAACTTTTGCAGACGCCATTTTTTTGTTTTCTGTTATTTTGAAAGTGTAAATGATGGAAATAAAATCTAACTTTTGTTGACATATTATAAGAATGTCTAATCTGTAATTTGATGCCTTTTGGAGATTTTTCCATCTTTCCTTGGCTTCTTTATGCACATTAATACAAATTTTTAGCTGGGGTGCCCAAACTTTCGATCCCCACTGTACATAATGTACGGGAAGTATGGGGTGTATGGGATGTACATAATGTACGGGAAGTATGGGGTGTACATAATGTACGGGAAATATGGGGTGTACCTAATGTATGGGATGTATGGGGTGTACATAATGTACGGGAAGTATGGGATGTACATAATGTACAGGAAGTATGGGGTGTATGGGATGTACGGGGAGTATGGGATGTACGGGGTGTACATAATGTACAGGAAGTAAGGGGTGTATGGGATGTATGGGATGTACGGGGTGTACATAATGTACAGGAAGTAAGGGGTGTACGGGGTGTACATAATGTACGGGAAGTATGGGGTGTATGGGATGTACATAATGTACGGGAAGTAAGGGGTGTATGGGATGTACGGGGTGTATGGGATGTACGGGGTGTATGGGATGTACGGGGTGTACATAATGTACGGGAAGTATGGGGTGTATGGGATGTACATAATGTACGGGAAGTATGGGGTGTATGGGATGTACATAATGTACGGGAAGTATGGGGTGTATGGGATGTACGGGGTGTATGGGATGTACGGGGTGTATGGGATGTACGGGGTGTACATAATGTACGGGAAGTATGGGGTGTATGGGATGTACATAATGTACGGGAAGTATGGGGTGTATGGGATGTACATAATGTACGGGAAGTATGGGGTGTACGGGGTGTACATAATGTATGGGAAGTATGGGGTGTATGGGATGTACATAATGTACAGGATTCCAAAACGGAGGTCCCAGTTCCCCCCCCCCCCACCCCCCAACCTCTCCATCACGACCAATAACGCTATCAGTCCCACCACGCAAGCCAAGGTCCTAGGTGTCACTCTAGACTCCAATCTATCCTTCCAGCCCCATGTCCAATCGCTTGCAAACTCATGCAGGCTCCGCCTCCGCAACATCTCCAAAATACGTTCATTCCTAACGCCGGAAACTACTAAACAACTCATTCACTCCCTTATTATCTCACGACTCGACTACTGCAACTCCCTCCTCACTGGCCTACCTCACCACAGGCTATCCCCGCTTCAGTCTATCCTGAACTCAGCGGCCAGACTCATCCACCCCACCAACCGCTCCATATCCGCCACCCGCCTCTAACATTCCCTCCACTGGCTCCCGATTGCCCAACGCATTAAATTCAAACTACTAACATTGACGTACAAAGCCATTCATAACACTGCCCCAAACTACCTCACCGACCTGATACCCAAATACCACCCAACCCGTGCCCTTCGCTCCTCACAAGACCTCCTACTTTCTAGCTCCCTTGTCTCCTCCTCCCACGTCAGACTGCAGGACTTTTCCAGGACTTCCCCCATCCTCTGGAACTCACTACCCCAATCCATCAGACTGTCACCTACCCTCCTCACCTTTAGGCGCACCCTGAAAACCCACCTCTTCAGGGAGCCTACCCCACCCTCACCTAACAGCCGATCTCCTCCACTCCTACCACTCCATCCCCCACAGCCACTTCCTCCTGTACCACTATCCCCTCCTCCTAGATTGTAAGCTCGAAAGAGCAGGGCCCTCGAACCCCTCGTGTATTGTATTGTTACTGTACTGTCTCATGTTCTGTCCCCCACTATAATGTACAGCGCTGAGCAAAGTTTTTGGCGCTATATAAATACTGTATAACAATAATAATAATGTACGGGAAGTATGGGGTGTACGGAGTGTATGGGATGTACAGGATGTATGGGGTGTACAGGATGTACGGAGTGTATGGGATGTACAGGATGTACGGGATGTACAGGATGTATGGGGTATACAGGGTGTATGGGATGTACGTATTGTACGGGATGTATGGGGTGTACAGGGTGTATGGGATGTACGGGATTGTATGTGATGTACGGGGGGTACAGGATGTATGGGGGACACGGGATGTATGGGGTGTACGGAGTGTATGGGTTGTACAGGATGTACGGAGTGTATGGGATGTACGGGATGTATGGGGTGTACAGGATGTACGGGATGTATGGGATGTACAGGATGTACGGGATGTATGGGGTGTACAGGGTGTATGGGATGTACGTATTGTACGGGATGTATGGGGTGTACAGGATGTATGGGATGTATCGGATGTACGGGGTGTACGGGATTGTATGTGATGTACGGGGGGTACAGGATGTATGGGGGACACGGGATGTATGGGGGGTACGGAATGTATGGGGGGTACGGAATGTATGGGGGGTACAGGCTGGTTTGTGGTCAGTTTAGAACCAAAATGGCGCAAAAAGGAGTTTATCTTTAAAGCTGATCCCTGGGGTTCCTCCTCATGACATCTGACCCCCCCCTCCCATCCCTTCCCACAAAAGAAGCCCTTTCTATTAACCCAATGCTGCCATCATGTGGTGCCTTAGTCCACAGTCTTCTGCTACAGAAGAGGGGGTGCTTCTTCAGGTCTCCAGTACATGGTCTGCTGGAGGGGAACACATCCTATTGGTTTACCAGTGGTGGGGTCCTCTCGGGATCCGGATGAGGAGGTCTACATTGGTGATATCAGCACAAGGGGAATGTAAGGAACATCTGCATCTGGAGTAGCGGCCCCCTGCACCAAGAAGTGGCGCTGACAAGGGACCTGGACAGCAGATTTAGCAGACAGGTTAAAAAAAGAAAAAGTGCCCCGCATGGGTTAGATGGGGTGTGAAGGGGGTTGATATTGGCCCAGAGATGGGCTTTATGAGGTTCTACCATGGTTCATGCATTTCATGTACACAGAGAGGAGGCAGCTACCTTTGGGTCCTGGAAGTGTCCTGTGATGGAGGCCCGGCAGCCCAGGACGAGGGCCTTGTATTGCTCAACGAAGTTATACATGATGACCGTTCTTTGAGATTCCTTCTGCTGCAATGTGGACTGGAGGTGCCAGAGCCGGTCCTTCACAGAGAGATTCTGATCCAACGGAGGAGGGGCCAGGCTGGAGCTAATGTCTGCAAAGAGAGGAAACCCAGACCAGGATATCACACCCACAAACACGGGTACACCATTTTCATCATGTAGACAGGCCCAAGACACGCTAGAGGCAGCACAGTGGCTGAAGGGTTAGCACTTCCGCCTGGCAGTACTCGGGTCATTGGTTCAAATCCCAACCACAGTACCACCTGCCTGAAGTTTACATGTTCTCCCTGTGCCTACATGGGTTTCCTCCGGGTAATTCGGTTTCCTCCCCACACTCCAAAGACATTCTGGTAGGTTCATTGGATCCTGTCTAAATTGTCCCTTGTATGTATGAATGTAAGTTAGAGACATTAGATTGTACACTCCTCAGGGGCGGGGCCTGATGTGAACGTACAATATATATTTAAAGCGCTGCGTAAATTCATGGTGCAAGTACCTGAAATAAATAGATAGAGGTTCTGCTGCTGCCAACAACAGAAGTGCTAGAGAGGACAAAGTAACAAATCCCGTTTCCACAATGTCCCTCCTTCACTGGCTGCAATGCTGCTTCTCCTCGCCTTCACCATCAAGGGGGCAACACTTTCCCGTCTTGGGCAGCAAAGGAGCAATGCTGTGTAAACAGGCGAGTTCTGTCCTTGCTTTTCGCTAGAGATTCTTGTGTTGGCGAGTTGTCACCAGGGACAAGGAACACGCGTGTGTCACGGGCCAGAGGTTTGTGATCAAAGAAGCCTTTGCAAACATATCTGCACACAAGCTCTGCACTCTAAATGACGATAGAACGGTCACCATCGAACAGCGACGGACAGAAAGACTACAGAACTCCGTCATTCCATCCACATAATCCTGCCAATCACAAAGCTAAGCTCAGCGGCTCACCTGACTGATCCTGCTCCCGCTGTAAGGACAGGTAATAGGCATCCTTCCCTCCCCAGCACACAGCCACACCGACCAGCAAGGCATCATCCCAGCCCTGCATGGGTAGGCCGTCTTCATTGCCTTGTATTTGCTTCGATGATCGAGCTGGAAGATCAAAAATGACCAATAAGAAGATTGTATGATAGTCAAAGTAGGCAAAGTGATGCAGCCGTGGCACAGCAGTCACTGTAAAGTACAACTAAAGGCTCCTGTATGTTGTCTAAACAAGACCCAACCCAGAAACTAGGATGTCCAAATATCATACAACAACCAAAACCTTCCCCTGCCTGAGCCAAACCCGCCTTCAATTGTGTCTCACGCATTCCCCCTCCCAGGCACTGCAGCTCACAGTGGGAGGGTTTAACCGCTTCCAGTCCAGACGCTTTCCCCCCCTTCCGGTCCGGACGCTTTCCCCCCCTTTCGGTCCGGACGCTTTCCCCCCCTTCCGGTCCGGACGCTTTCCCCCCCTTCCGGTCCGGACGCTTTCCCCCCCTTCCGGTCCGGACACTTTTACCCCCCCTTCCGGTCCGGACACTTTTACCCCCCCTTTCCAGTCCAGACACTTCCCCCCCCCTTCCGGTCCGAACACTTTTACCCCCTTCCGGTCCGGACACTTTTACCCCCTTCCAGTCCGGACACTTTCCCCCCCCTTCCAGTCCGGACACTTTCACCCCCTTCCAGTCCGGACACTTTCACCCCCTTCCAGTCCGGACACTTTCACCCCCTTCCAGTGCGGACACTTTCCCCCCTTCCAGTCCGGACCTCCCCCTTCCAGTCCGGACGCTTTCCCCCCCTTCCAGTCCGGACGCTTTCCCCCCCTTCCAGTCCGGACGCTTTCCCCCCCCCCTTCCAGTCCGGACGCTTTCCCCCCCTTCCAGTGCGGACACTTTCCCCCCCTTCCAGTCCGGACACTTTCACCCCCTTCCAGTCCGGACACTTTCCCCCCCTTCCAGTCCGGACACTTTCACCCCCTTCCAGTCCGGACACTTTCCCCCCCCTTCCAGTCCAGGGCAATTTTCAGCTTTCAGCGCTATCACACTTTGAATGACAATTGCGCGGGTCATGCAACACTGTACCCATATGAATTTTTTACCATTTTTTTGAGACAGATAAAGCTTTATTTTGGTGATATTTATTCACCGCTGAGATTTTTATTTTTTTTTGCTATATAAATGAAAAAGTCCAAAAATTTTGAAAAAAGTGTTTTTCTTATAAAATTTTGCAAATAAATATTTTATCATAAATCTTGGCCAAAATTTATTCCGTTATCTTTTTAGTAAAAAAAAAAAAATACACCAAGTTAGTTATAACAAAAATTATAATTTTTAAACTTTTTTTTTTACATTTTTATTTTTTTTTAAATATTATTTGTGTTTTTGGTTTTTTTTACATACCGTCACCCTACCAGTACAGTGTCACCTGTCACTTGTGGGGGGTGATGAAGATTTTTTTTTTTTTTTACAGTGATTTCTTTTACACCCATATAGGATGTAAAAGCAATCATTTCTCTTTCTCTCTGTCTCCATTTTTGCAGCCATTGAGAATTACTGTGTGAGCTGTGATTGGTCACAGCTTGTCACATGGTACAAGGCTATTGTGAATAGCCCTGTACCATGTGAACTCTGCGATCATTCACAGATTTCACACGTAGTAAGCAATGATGTCACAAGTGACATCTTGCTTACTACTTTGCATGTGATCACTGGTTGGCCAATCAGTGATCACATGATCGGGACCTCGTACAGAGGTCCCGTCCGACGATCGGTGTTTCACACAGCAGGCAACCGGATCGCGGTGCTGCGCGCACACAGGGACGCGCACAACTAGAAAAAGCGGGTGCCGTTTATGAACGGCAACCCGCTCCTGGCACACCATCACTGGCAGGATCAACAGGTATTTGTGGCACTTTTCAGGGGAATAAGGAAGAACTGTAAGTGCAGATGCACCTGTAATTATATTTTTTATGGGAGGCCATAGTTCTACTTTAAACACAGCGGGCACCGGATCGCGGTGCTGCGCGCTACCAGGGAGCGCACACAAGCAGGGAGGATATTTATAAACGTCCTCCCCGCTCCCTGCTTGTGCATGCTCCCTGGGAGCGCGCAGCACCGCGATCCGGTACCCGCTGTGTCCTCCGAGCACCGATCGCTGTACGGGACCTCTGTGTGAGGTCCCGATCATGTGATCGCCGATTGGCCAATCAGTGATCACATGAAGAGTAGTAAGCAAGGTGTCACTTCTGACATCATTCCTTACTACGTGTGAAATCTGTGAATGATCACAGAGGTCACATGGTACGGGGCTATTCACAACAGCCTTATACCATGTGACAAGCTGTGACCAATCACAGCTCACACAGTATTTCTCAGTGGCTGCAAGAATGCAGCCAGAGAGAAGGAGAAATGATTGATATTACAGCCTTTATGGGTGTAAAAGCAATCAGTGTAAAAAAATAAATAAATAAATCTTCATCACCCCCCCACAAGTAGTACAGTGTCACTATGTTTCACACTGTACTGCTAGGGTGACAGTATGGAAAAAAACAGACAAATAATATTAAAAAAAATTTAAAAGAAAATAAAAAAAATATATAATTTTTGGTTACAAACTAATTTAGGTTATTTTTTTTTTTACTAAAAAGATAATTTAATAAATGTTGGCCAATATTTATGAAGAAAGATTATTTATTTGCAAAATTTTATAAGAAAAACACTTTTTCAAACTTTTTGGACTTTTTCATTTATACTGCAAAAAAAATTAAAAATCCCAGCGGTGAATAAATACCACCAAAATAAAGCTTTATCTGTCTCAAAAAAGCTAAAAAATTCCTATGGGTACAGTGTTGCATGACCGTGCAATTGACATTCAAAGTGTGACAGCGCTGAAAATTGGCCTGGACAGGAAGGGGTTGAAAGTGTCCGGACTGGAAGGGGGGGGGAAAGTGTCCGGACTGGAAGGGGGGGGGAAAGTGTCCGGACTGGAAGGGGGGGGGAAAGTGTCCGGACTGGAAGGGGGGGGGAAAGTGTCCGGACTGGAAGGGGGGGGGAAAGTGTCCGGACTGGAAGGGGGGGGGAAAGTGTCCGGACTGGAAGGGGGGGGAAAGTGTCCGGACTGGAAGGGGGGGGAAAGTGTCCGGACTGGAAGGGGGGGGGAAAGTGTCCGGACTGGAAGGGGGGGGGAAAGTGTCCGGACTGGAAGGGGGGGGGAAAGTGTCCGGACTGGAAGGGGGGGGGAAAGTGTCCGGACTGGAAGGGGGGGGGAAAGTGTCCGGACTGGAAGGGGGGGGGAAAGTGTCCGGACTGGAAGGGGGGGGGAAAGTGTCCGGACTGGAAGGGGGGGGGAAGTGTCCGGACTGGAAGGGGGGGGAAAAGTGTCCGGACTGGAAGGGGGGGGAAAGTGTCCGGACTGGAAGGGGGGGGAAAGTGTCCGGACTGGAAGGGGGGGGAAAGTGTCCGGACTGGAAGGGGGGGGAAAGTGTCCGGACTGGAAGGGGGGGGAAAGTGTCCGGACTGGAAGGGGGGGGAAAGCGTCCGGACTGGAAGGAAGGGAAAGCGTCCGGACTGGAAGGAAGGGAAAGCGTCCGGACTGGAAGGAAGGGAAAGCGTCCGGACTGGAAGGAAGGGAAAGCGTCTGGACTGGAAGGAAGGGAAAGCGTCCGGACTGGAAGGAAGGGAAAGCGTCCGGACTGGAAGGGGGTGAAAGTGTCCGGACTGGAAGGGGGTGAAAGTGTCCGGACTGGAAGGGGGGAAAGTGTCCGGACTGGAAGGGGGGGAAAGTGTCCGGACTAGAAGGGGGGAAAGTGTCCGGACTGGAAGGGGGTGAAAGTGTCCGGACTGGAAGGGGGTGAAAGTGTCCGGACTGGACTGGAAGGGGGTGAAAGTGTCCGGACTGGAAGGGGGGGAAAGTGTCCGGACTGGAAGGGGGGGAAAGCGTCAGGACTGGAAGGGGGGGAAAGTGTCCAGACTGGAAGGGGGGGAAGCGTCAGGACTGGAAGGGGGGAAAGCGTCAGGACTGGAAGGGGGGAAAGTGTCCGGACTGGAAGTGGTTAAGCACCTTACAAAAAAAAAAAAGAATAATCACCTGGCTTAAACCTGCCTCCAATACAGGACCGAGAAGATGCCGGTTGCATCCTCTTCTCGCAGGCCACTGACAGAGAGAAGGTCTTCTGGTTCTGCCACTCCTTCAGAAAAGTCCGAAAGAGATTCTGGTCACTGGCCACATCTATGATGCTGAATTCCTCTGAGCTGGATGACGGGAGGGAAACGGAGTCCTGGGACAACTGCAAAGAGAAACCTTCATCCGGAACGGGTTCATCCTCAGCAACGTCTACATATTCCTCCACTTCACTCTGTGACCCCAACAATTTCTCCTCTTCTACGTCCAGAGATGGGAAGATCATGCTTTGAACAAACTCATCTCTAGTTCTAGATTTCACACAAGACGTCCCTATTACCATTCTTGATGTGGACACATTGGGAGGCGTTGGAGGAATGAGGTCATTTCGGCTTTCCGGCCTGGAGTTGGGTTTTTCAGCATTAGGGGTAGAGTTACAAGTACCAGCAGCAAAAAAATGAGGGTCAACAGAGGGAGCATGAGGGGGATCTTCAAGTTCTAAACCTGCTGGTGGTTCCTTTAAGCTTTCAGGCTCTTTTACACAACAAGGATCAACAAGGATCTGCTGTGGTTGTGTCATGTGTAGATGCTGGGACTTTTGATTGCCTGAAGGACTTGAGCACTGATCTAGAAGCTCTTGCATCCCTTGCGTAAAGCTAATTGAGAGATCAGACCATTCTTGATTTATTATGGCGACCGTCCTTTCTTGTATTTTAAAACTCTTTTCAAGATTCTCACATGGTAGAGGATTTGGGCATCGGGAAATTTCATTTTTACCTTTACTCTCTGAAGCTAGAGGTAGTTCGGCATGATCTAGAACCTCCACCATTTGGAATGAGTCAAGCTGAGAGAATGAAATCGATGCTTCATCACATTTTATGGGTTTCTCCTGATCTTCTATCAAGTCGTCGATAGGTAGACTGAGCTGAACCATACTCTCTGGTTCTTCATCACCTCCACCTGCCGGGTACAGGAGAGGTTCCTCTAGCTTAGGGACAATGCCCAGATCTTCATTAAAGCTGTCAAACAGAAAACTGTCGCTCATGTTCAGGCTGGTTTCTGCAACTTGATTACACGGTAAACTGTCCTCATCTGGGGGAACTCTGACAACAGAGTTCTTTACCTCGGCAAGGTCTTGTGGTGAACCTCTCTCTTCTCTAGGTTGGGTATGGAAAGTCTGGAAAAGGCTCTGGAGCTGTGTGTCAGTGAGAGAAACCTCATTCCCTCTCAACCATGAGTAATGCTCATAGGTCTTTAACTTCCTTTCCAGCCCTTCATAGTTCAATTTAGGCTCATCTGAGCAATTTAAAACATCCTGTACAGCATTCACGGTCACCTGACTTAAATGGGTTATTTGTTCTTCTCTTGGATCTCCAACGTCAACATGTGTTTCCTCTCGAACAAGCTCAATAGCTGCCAGGCTTGGCGTGTCCTTGTTCTGGTTTGACAGCTCTGCTGCCAGCTTTGAATCCCCGTCTCGCTGCTCCCTTTCCGATTCAGATGCCACCTGCTGCTGTATTATCTTCTCAGTCTGAGTGTCCAGCTGAAAGCTGTCCTCAAAGGTCCTCGATGCCGCACAGAATTCCGGAGAGCAGACGTTTCCGGGGAAACACGGGGCGGCTTTTGTTTCCGCAGCCTCAGAAGCCGGCTCTGTTTGTCTACAAGGGGCATTCATCTCATTCTGTTTGTGGTGAAATGATCCAAAAACAGATTTATGTTCCTGGAGCGTGTCTGTAGGCCGAATGGGAGCCGGGGGTGATGTGTTCGCAGTTCTCGCTATTTCTATGGTGGGACGTTCTTCTTCTATATACTGTGAGGCGTCTTTTATGTCACAAAGCAGCAATTTCTTACTTTTCTCTCCTGCAGTTTCTTTCATTACTGTGTCACCTTGTAGGACATTAGAGTTGGGGTTAATACTGACTGAACGTTCTTCTGACCGATCCCCTCTTGATTTATTGGCCACGTCATCCTTAATTCTCTTGAAATTATCAGCAATTGGTAAAGCCATCGATGTTGTGTTTCTGGTCTTGGGTTTCGCTTCACTGGAAGTGTTAGACGAATGTTCTGGAATATTATCGGTTGTTGGGGTTTCGGTGGACAACTCATCGTTCTGGCACACAAGACTTCCATTCTTGGTAGGTACAGTTGCCTCCTCAGTCTTTCTCTGGACAGAGTTTTGTAAAGGTCCAGGCTCTGTAGTGTTCGGCAATATGGCTGCCTCCCGTCTCTCATGGAGAAATGGACTTCTCAGTGCATTTACCTTCTCCAACTGGCGGAAAGAGATTTTTCTGTGCCGTTTCCCCAGCTGATGTTGAGGCCTTTTCTGACCTCTGGTCTTGTCTGGAGGGCGAATGGCTGCTTTTGTTCAGAGATGATCCAGAAGAGGAGAATGAGGAATCGACATTTCCGTTGGGATCCCACTGTATCCCCATCCCTGCCAGGTCTTCTCTCAGCAGTTTCCGGGCCTCCGCCACGATAAGCTCGGCCGCTTCCCTCTCGGTCAGTCCCTTCTTCCCAGATATCCAGATACACCGAGCTGCCCGGCGCTCCTGGGCCGCATCTTCGTCTTCATCCACTGCTCTGCGGACACTGCACAGACAAAGAGAGATAAAATCTCAGCTTTACGTCGCATCAAAGGACTTGTACTAGTCACGCTAGGAATCAAAAAGGCAACTGCTGGGCAAATTCCCGGGGCCTAGTGGCCAGCTAGCGAAAAAGCTTAACCTCTTCACGCCGGCCGAACGCAAATGTGCGGCCTCCCGGCATCTGGGCCTGGAGCGGAGCGGCCACACATTTGCGTTCTATTAAAAAAGGACATATGTGCCAAGAGCGCGCGCAATGCCCGCTCCCAGCACACATGTCCGGTACTCACGGAGAGGTCCCGATCTCCTCTTTCGATGGGGACCTTTCCCGATCACATGACCCTCAACCTCGCCCTGCCTCCCGGCTTCTGAAACTCTTAAAGGGCCGGGAGGCGCCGGCGTGAAGGGGTTAAAGCTGTTTCTGTTGTTGTGGAAGCACACAATAACCTGGCTGCTTAACCGCTTTAGCTATGCCCCATAGCAGAAATACTGCGACAGGGCGGCAGCTGTGCGCAAAATCATGTATATATACGTGATTTGGCATTTCCATCCAGGCAGGGGGGGCGCACGCGTGCCCTACCCACAGCGCCATGGCTGTCAATCACCAGGTCCCGGCCGGTGGTGATTACTCGCCGGCGCCCGGTGATTGCCAAAGATCCCCGTAGGGGGGATGATGACAGCTGACAAGGTATGGGTAATGATGACAGCTGACAAGGTATGGGTTAATGATGACAGCTGACAAGGTATGGGTTAATGATGACAGCTGACAGGGTATGGGATAATGATGACAGCTGACAAGGTATGGGTTAATGATGACAGCTGACAAGGTATGGGTTAATGATGACAGCTGACAGGGTATGGGTTAATGATGACAGCTGACAAGGTATGGGATAATGATGACAGCTGACAAGGTATGGGATAATGATGACAGCTGACAAGGTTTGGGTTATGGTGACAGCTGACAAGGTATGGGATGATGACAGCTGACAAGGTATGGGATAATGATGACAGCTGACAAGGTATGGGTTAATGATGACAGCTGACAAGGTATGGGATGATGACAGCTGACAAGGTATGGGATGATGACAGCTGACAAGGTATGGGATAATGACAGCTGACAAGGTTTGGGTTATGGTGACAGCTGACAAGGTATGGGATGATGACAGCTGACAAGGTATGGGTTAATGATGACAGCTGACAAGGTATGGGATAATGATGACAGCTGACAAGGTATGGGATGATGACAGCTGACAAGGTATGGGATAATGACAGCTGACAAGGTTTGGGTTATGGTGACAGCTGACAAGGTATGGGATGATGACAGCTGACAAGGTATGGGATAATGACAGCTGACAAGGTATGGGTTATGGTGACAGCTGACAAGGTATGGGATGAATGACAGCTGACAAGGTATGGGATGATGACAGCTGACAAGGTTTGGGTTATGGTGACAGCTGACAAGGTATGAGTTAATGATGACAGCTGACAAGGTATGGGATAATGATGACAGCTGACAAGGTTTGGGTTATGGTGACAGCTGACAAGGTATGGGTTAATGATGACAGCTGACAAGGTATGGGATGATGACAGCTGACAAGGTATGGGATAATGACAGCTGACAAGGTTTGGGTTATGGTGACAGCTGACAAGGTATGGGATAATGACAGCTGACAAGGTTTGGGTTATGATGACAGCTGACAAGGTATGGGATGATGACAGCTGACAAGGTTTGGGTTATGGTGACAGCTGACAAGGTAGGTGCTGAGGGGGTGGTGGAGGGTTGGGATGTCGGTGTGTTTAGCAGATGGGGGTCGCTCACCTTTTAAAGGGCACGGCGTTCTTCAGTGCTGCCTCCACATCAGTGATGTTCCCTCTGGCCAGCTCGCTGATGGTGATGAGTCCGGCATTATAGAGCGCTCGGGCCCGCTGAGCGTTCAACAGATCCAACCGCACCAGATCGCAGAGCTCGCGCTGCACGCCGAATGTCAGGCGGCTCTGAAACTGCGACAGCAGGAGCTCCATGTTGTGCCAACCCAGACGACTGCAGAACACGGTCACTATACCTGCGTCATGGACACAACACGGATCACTGTACTGCCAACACGCCATACATCGCAACACACCGCATGCATCCCAATACCTGCGACACACCCCATGCATCGTAATACCTGCGACACACCCCATGCATCCCAATACCTGCGACACACCCCATGCATCGTAATACCTGCGACACACCCCATGCATCGTAATACCTGCGACACACCCCATGCATCGTAATACCTGCGACACACCCCATGCATCGTAATACCTGCGACACACCCCATGCATCGTAATACCTGCGACACACCCCATGCATCCCAATACCTGCGACACACCCCATGCATCGTAATACCCGCGACACACCCCATGAATCGTAATGCCCGCGACACACCCCATGCATCGTAATACCTGCGACACACCCCATGCATCCCAATACCTGCGACACACCCCATGCATCCCAATACCTGCGACACACCCCATGCATTGTAATACCCGCGACACACCCCATGAATCGTAATACCCGCGACACACCCCATGCATCGTAATGCCCGCGACACACCCCATGCATCGTAATGCCCGCGACACACCCCATGCATCGTAATACCCGCGACACACCCCATGCATCGTAATACCTGCGACACACCCCATGCATCCCAATACCTGC